GTCTTTGTCTGAAGTGTGTGTGTGTGTGTGTGTGTGTGTGTGTGTTTGTGTGTGTGTGTTTGTGTGTGTGTGTGTTTCTAAGCTAGGGGCCAGAAACACTCAGCAATTATATGCAGGTTGTGTGATCTAAACTCAGGTGCTGATCTTGCCCTAAGCACTCTTACTTGTTGAGCAATCTCTCCCACACCTACATCACCCATTTTAGGCATAGAACTCTCCTCGTTTTCTTCTCTTCTATTGGAAAAAAATACTAATCTTTCTTTTAGGATTTATTTGTATTATTTTAAATAACATTTCTTTGTAACATTTCTTTGTTTTTGGGTATGAATGTGCTGGAGCCAACAGAGCCCAGAGGTATCAGATTCTACCTGGAGATGGAATTCGAGGCAGCTGTGAGCCATCCAATATGGGTGCTGTGAACAGAACTCAGATTCTCTGAAGAAGCAGCAAGTACTCTTAGCTATTGACTCATCTCTCCAGCCCCCAAGTTTCTAATCAGAAAATCACAAGTATGTAAACCAATAATGACCTCATAAAAATCTTTTATGTAACTAAAAGAGATAAAAGAGATAATTATTTTCTTTAAGTAATAGATGCTTTAAACTGGACACTTCTGTGTGACTGAATAGACAGTGTGTTCATTGAGCAGCATGGCTCATACATAGTGTGAGTGACTGTTCTTCTCTTTACATACTGAGCCAGAATTCCCATGTTTCAACAGAGAATTATTTAAGTTAGTTTTGGAAATTTTGAGAAAAAAAAATACCCTTCTGCATCAGTTTGGGGAGTGGCAGGGGAAACAGAGTTACTATTATCCTCAGCCCCTCACTGTGAGATTTGTGAAGTCTTGATTGAATCAAATCCAAAAGAGAAAGCTCACTGTTGACTGGTGTGGTTTTGACCATTCATAATGTAGTCTGAAACTCATGAGATTTTAGGACAGAAGTCAGGTGAAAAAAGTGAAGGATAGTCCTGTCAATATCAGAGCCTCAGAAACTACATCCTGGAGTGGTCAGGGTCAGGCTCAAGTGAGGAGCACTGCAAATGGAGTAGGGCCACACAGAATTTTGGAAACTGCTGCTTCTGAGTGCTTCCCCTCTGTGAATCCATTGTGATTACAGGCAAGACTTCTGTAACTCTTGATACTCAGGCTGAGAGACATTTTTCTGCTTTTGCAAAATGAATTTATGGAGAATTTTCCATTAAAGTATTTCAGAGAGATGACTAGCCTATGTTTTCTGTTTTTGATATTTTATCATTTTCCCTCCATATTAATGAAGAGATTTCATACTGAAGCTACTGACAAAGTGTTTTATGTCTAGACGTTCCATTATCACTTTATATCTTACCTTTATTGAATGAATTATTACTCACTATAGACAGATGGAAGGACTGAACCCAACACAGCATTTATTATGAAATCTGACACATTTGAGCTCTCTTGTTTGAAAACATTGTCTATTACCTTATCTGATTTTCCAGCATTGCTCAATAGCCTGACAGTTCTCTCTTGCTGTGTACATTGTTTTCGATTGTTCTCTTTCTACTTCTCTTAATCATAGAATCTTTATCAAACAAGTACACGAGTTAGTATAAACTTATATGAATGGAACAAAGGTAGCGAAAGCCACTAGGAGTGTCTTCTGTTACAGGGACTATCACGAACACCTTCATACACTGGAATCTCTTAGTACCATATATTCATGGCACAATGATAAGGAGATGCACTAATAACTAAACTGGTCTAAGACTTCTCAGAAGCCCTTATGAAAAAGAAAAAGGAAGCTAGCTCTGTGTTGAAGAGGGGACTTATCCCACTGAAAAATCTGGAGTTATTTGTCTAGGCCTTTGAGATAACCCATGCTCCCCTTGTGCAACATTGCTTGATAAGCTTTCTGCTGACATCATCCCAGTTCTCCCCTGAAAATAACATATAAGATGCTGTACTTTTTTTTTAAAGATAACTTATAAATTTAATTTAATTGAAATAAATTACTTTTTGAAAACAAGACAGAGATACATGGTTTGTGTCCATTTGCATGTCCCTTGTGTTATAACAGTATATCGACTTTGATAATGCCTGCTATCTAGGACCAGTGTTCCTGAAGTTCACATACAGGATCCCTTATACTATTTGATGAAGTAGAAAGTGTGCTTTTCCATCCTTGTGAAGGTAAAGGAACATTTAAGTTGTATGCTATTTTCCTAGGACATTCAGAACCTTTATATATTCTCAGAAATACATACATACTAGAAGGGACTGAAATATCCACAGAGGAATCCTTTCAACAAACAATTTTGTGTCTGCTTCTTTTTTTAAATATTTTTCATTTTTTATTTACTTACATCCTGATCATATCCCCCTCACTCCTCACTTGCCAACCTCACCCTTAAAAATCCCTTCTCCCATTGTTCCCTCCCCTTCTCTCAAAGAAGGGGCACCCCCTTTGGGTACTACCCCACCCTGGGCCAGCCAGTGTCAAAAAGTCTAGCACATCCTCTCCCACTGAGGTCCAACCCGGTAGTCCAACTAGGGGGAAAGGGATCCTCTGGCAGGGAACAGAGACCAAGAAAGCCTCTGTAGGAAGTCTAATCCAACTCCTGAATGCTCCCTGGTAGGGAGCCTAGTCTCTGTAATTCCCCATGGTCCCAGGTTAGTTCTACAGATCTTCTTGTTGTGTCCTTGACCCCTCCAACTTGTTCACTTCTATCCTCCACTCTTCTGCAAGTCATGAATGTTTCTTAGACCGGTTGGTAATATGTACAGTTTTTCACTGACTCAGTGATGGATTCATTCATTGATGAAATCCATTGTGAATCTTGCCATTAGCAGCTTTTTGAACGGCTGATAGAAATGTCTTCATTTACTCTTCTTTCTTCAGACTTTTATACTTCATTGACTCCTTAGAACGTTTCAACTGTTCTGTGGTGAGCTGATTTATTTATTATCTCATATGTTATATCTCAACTGCAGTTTCCCCTTCCTCATCTTCTACTAGTCTTCCCCATCCACTCAGAAAAGAGCAGGCCTCCCTAGGATATCACTCAAACTGGACATAACAAGATTCACTGTAACTAGGCACATACTATCACATCAAGACTGGACAAGGCAAAACCACAGGGGGAAAGGAATCCCATAAGTAGCCAAAAGAATCTAGGATAGTCGCCACTCTATCTTTTAGGATTTCCACAAAAACACCAAGCTACTCAGCCATATACATATACATATACATATACATATACATATACATATACATAT